TTATTTGATTTTATTTAGTTACTTAATTTAGGATCTTGCTATGAAGGCTGGACTTCTTAGTGGTCCTCATGCCTCAGCCTTCCCAGCACTGGGATTATAGGCATGCGCTACCAGGCCGGGTTTTGTTGGCTGGCATTGTGCACCAAGGGTTTGGAGGTCAGCACAGAATGTGGTACTGGGGATTGAACTCAGGTCCTTGCACTTGCCAGGCAGGTACTTAGACCACCGAGCTATCTCCCCACCCCCTATATGTCAGATTTTAAAAACATCCATCAGTGCAATTTGTATTTAGATTGATATTGTTTAGATTGATGAAAATAAAATTTGGTCTTTATATTTCTTTTTTAGACAAACCTAAAATATGATAAATTGACATCATACTACAAAATAATTATTATATAGAAATTACTATTTAATACTCTGTATTTAGTTCTGTTATAGCATAATTTAGTACAAATTTACTGTTTAGTAATTACTATAAAACAATTACTGCTTAATAATCACCATAAAATTACTATCTAGTAATTACTACAAAGTAATCACTACTTAATAATTACTACAAAATAATTGCTATTAAGTAATTACTACAGAACAGTCACTAAGAGGAGAGCATACAAATTTATGCATTAAATATAAGCCCCATGTCTTGATGACCTATGGAACTGTGAGACACACTACATAATATAATGAGTTGATCTGAACAAGTTATGAACTATAAGTGTCAGAATTTACCCATCCACTCTAAGAAATAGTCACTATGGTTATCACCTTTTCTTGGTCCTTATCATCTTACAGTCTTGTAATATTTTACTTTTGAATGAAGTAACATGCCCACATGTAGACACTGGTGATCGTTACCCTGAACTGTGAAAAGGAACAAGGTAAGGAAGGAGAAACTCAGCAGGAAACATAAACATCTACTAGGGAACACAGAACAGCACTCATGAAACCACTGTGAAAGGTTATAAAACAGTAGGAAATCCAGCAGCGAATAGTGTGGGGCAAATTAAGTGCTGATAGGTGTTCCCAACCCTTCTGGCCCATTATTCAATTTTACTGAGGGAAGAAAAGCATTTTGTGTTAAGTGAGGGATCAGGTTCACATCAAGAGAAATTACTATGTGTTCAGATCTCAGCTATCATGACTGTTCTTTGCCAAACCAAATTTTAACTTTTTATATGTTTCATGGAGAGGGGAAAAAGCCCATTGATCTGTATTAGAATTTATCATAAAAATCCATAGAATGTAAATAACGTCTGGAGCCCACACACCTTTCTCACGTATTCAGTTTCTTCAATAATGTGAGCAGATGTAGACTCATACAAAGCAGAATTATCTTCTCTCTTATCCTTTGGGGGAAATTCTGTGGTCACTGTTACCATTGCCATTGTGAATACTGGCTTTTAAAGAAGTAATTAATCTGCTAAGCAAAACAGATATTTTTAAATTATATAATTACATGGTTCACAAACTTAGAGTAATCAGAATTATTGTTGGTATCTGTACATATTCATAAATCCAGGAATCAGTTTTACATAAAACAAAATCATTGAAATAATCATGATTAAAAGATTGAAAATTAAGAGCTGGGGAGATAGCTCGGCAGACTAAGTACCTGCTTAGGCAAATGCAAGGACAGGGGTTCGTAGTAGCCAGCACCACATGCTGTGCTGGCCCCACCCCTGGGTGCACAGAGCTGGCCACTGAGACCAGACGTGGTGATGTACGCGGTAATCTCAACACCGGGAGGCTTACAACAGGAGGGGATCACTCTGAGTCAGAGCTTTGTAGTGAAACCCTGTACCAAACACATTTTTAAAAAAGATTGAGAATTAAATAACCCAAGGGAGAAAAATAACACTGTTTTTTTTTCTTTCTTTTTTTTTTTTTGTTCAGCACCATATTACGTTATAAAAATTGAAGAGTACAGACCATGTCTTACTCAACTTTATATTTTCTATGTTGTAAGTGCTTAAAAAAGTCTTTGTAACTAACAGCACAATTATCATAAAGCTATGCTATGGGCTGGGAATGAAGTACAGTGGAAGAGAGCTAGCATATACAAGGCCCTGGGATCAATTCTTAGATTTAAAAAAACTCTGTGTTATTTGCCTATGTATCTTTATTAATAGTGCATAAAGGCTATACCAAGGGGTTAGCTGCAATAATAAAACTGTATGCTAAGGAACTATTCGCAAAAGCTATATGCTAAGGAACTATTTGCAATTAAATTCATACAAAACCAAGATTGATTCAATTTGTCTTCTCTAGGATGCATTATTTAATTTGAAAGTGTTGTGCAGAAAAGGAGAGATGGTGTCATTTTCTACATGAAGAAATGGGAGTGGGAGAGCAAAATCTGCGTCTTACAGTTAGACATGGAACCGTACAAATATCCTAAAAAATTGTGAAAAATTTTAGAAAGCAGTTATAGCAAAATAAATAAAAATGAAACAAAAAATGTATGTATCAAGCTGATTGTTTGATACATGAATTATTTCAAGTGATTTAAAACCACAACGGCCAGTAACTATCTCTTGTGAGCAAATTATTCTAAGAATGAAAAGAATGCCAGAACAATTTAAAACTATGTTGTCAACAATACTATTTATGGAAACATTGGTATTGCCAATTTGAAATTACTCTGTGTGTGTGTGTGTGTGTGTGTGTGTGTGTGTGTGTGTGTGTGTGTTTCATGTGCTCAGGTACATATAGTAGAACAAAGCCAATTAGTAGAGTTAAAATGATTAAAACTCAAGATTTTTAGCAGAACAAAAAGTAATAAAATACAGAGTTAAAAATATTAGGTAAAGTTCTTACAAAGTGACCTAGAATTATTAATACAAAAATTATTTCTTTTCCTTAAAAAAAAATTCTCCTTCTATTTTTTGAAAAGCATGTATATGGTAGCAATTAGCACTACTGGTGGTCAGGTTGTGATTTTTCTATATCCTATCTTCCTAAAATGAAACTAAAGCCTTCTTGGTTGATTCCAAACACAATTTTTTAAAAAATGTGTTATGTTTAAGTCACCACTCTAATCAGCAAAAATGACAACTAAAGAGGGATGACTGTGACAGACTACGGTACATCGAAAGTCCTAAACCCCTGATTTTATGATGACAGGTGAGAACACCACCACCAACATCCCTCATTGCCCCCCTCTAGAAATTGGTAAGGCAACAGTTCAATGGAGAGAACATAACTGAACTATATTTCAAGGTAACCAAACTGTTGATGTGGGAAAGCTTTTTATTGTTTGTTTTTTTATTTTAACTATTTATTTATTTATTTATTTAGTACAAGGTCTTGCTCTGCAACTCAGATTCAGTGATCCTCCTGACGCAGTCTCCCCAGCACTGGGATTATAGACATGCAGCACCATCCCCGGTTTCAGTGTACCTGGAATTCTGTGGCCAGCATGGCATGTGGTACCAGGGATTGAACTTGGGTCCTTGTGGTTGCCAGGCAGGTGCGTAGACCAGTAGGCTATCTCCACAGCCCTCATGTGGGAAAGTTTTCTATAACATTCCAGCTAATAAATTCAAAAAGTTTGACAGAATGTAAAAACCTATAGTTTACAACACTACGAAGTAAGGTGGATCTAAACAAAAATCATCAACCAAAGCCAAAATATTAGGTGAAAGTTTAATGAAGAATGCATACCTAAGAGAACTCATTAATTCATCTCAGCATAATTAAAACTTGTCATAAATTAATAGTCTTGAGAATCACATGACCAAATGCAGCATATGGATATTATTTGAACACTGCCTTCAACTAATTATATAAAGATGTTTTTGAGATTGGAAAATGTGTAATGCTTGTGAACCATTATAGTTTTGGTAGCTGTGATAATGGAATTATGACATTCTTTTAAAGTGTATTATCTATTAGTAATATATATTGAAAATTTTTCAAATGAAATACGTTACATTTGGAGTTGCTTTAAAATAATGAGACAAATAGACTTTAGAAAAAGATGAAAGAAAGCTAGCAAAACATAGGTAATTTTTGAAGTTGCATATGGGGAATATGGAATCCATTATGCCCCTCCATTTAAGTTTTGTTTAAAATATCCACACTAAGTAATAAAGAACTAAAAATCAAGTATAGTAAAAAGCCTAGAGAAATAGAATTATTGAACCCACTTTACTAATAAGGAAAACAAGGATCCCATAGTAATGTTAACTTACCCACATTCACAGTGAAACAAACACAGATAAAACGCCAACCTTTGTCTATTTGATCCCAGTTCAGGGTGTTTCCATCCTAAAGATGTTGATTTCCCTAGAAAGAAACAAAGAATATTTAAAACTTAACTGATGAATTCTGTTAAAAAACACAATGAATTTTTACATCAACAGCATCTTTGAAATAAGCTAGACTTTGGGGATACCACAAGCTTTGCATTTATCCTTTAATCTTCAATGAAATTGACAAAGCACGCCAAGAATTCTCCATTTTATTATAAATCCTCTTAGACAGTAGCTATGGCTTCTGTTTATTTCTGCTGAAACTGATCTGGCAAGTTGGCTCGTACAGCATGCGAACACAAGGACTCCTCTTGTGCCCTCTTCTGAAGTCTCTTTCAGGGATTAAGACCTAGTCCAAAACAACATTTAAATGCTCTGAGCCAAAGAAACACCTGACAGATGACAGGTATCATGCTGGGAAACCAGAGGGGGCATGGTCAGTCCAGGGTAGGGGGCCAACAAACCATGTCTCTTGGACAGCCTTTGAGCTAGGGATGGCTCTTACATTTTTGAATGGTTCAAAAAATTTAAACAGAATATAACAATTCATGATATATTAAACTTATACTCAATTCAAATTTAGTGCCAGTAAATGCATCTTTGACACGACCGTGGCCACTTGTGCACCTTTGGTTCATGTTGTTTTGGCCCTACAGCTGCAGTGAGCAAGGGCAGTGGACAATGTGCCCTGCTAAATTGGGTCCTTTCCAGGATGAGTTTGCTGACATCTGGGCTAGGGAGTGGCAGGGAGTTAGGAGCAAAAGATCAGTGAAAAATAGAAGCAAGGGAAATAACCAGTCTAGCCTGGGGTGGATTTTCTTTCAGTTCAATCCCGCTTGATCTACAATCTCATTTGACTGAAAAATCTTCATTTTTCTTTTTCATCTGTTATGCATTTTCTACCTTAACAAATTTGAAAAGCCATTTCATCATAGTAAAGAGTCACTCCTTAGAAAGGATCCCACTGCCTTCTTAGACTTTCATAATTTGACAGTTAATTAGGCCTTAAGCCATATACAGTATCCTCAAACATACCCTTATGTGCCTGTAATTCTTAATATCAAGCATTCTGATCCTTAATCTCTCAGAAAAAAATCTCAAAGTTTTTCTTCTTAAAAGTTGTACCTTTTCCACTCGCTGGTTAAAGAACTTACATAAAATCTTAGATTTATGTTGCATGTCTGTAAAACATCAGTGATAATGTCTATAGTTATGAAAATGAGTTTTAAAAAAACTGTTATGGAAGATATTCAATAGATAGTGAATATCCACATCATTGCACCTTTTATTTTATATTATTAATAATTATATAAGAAAAGCAACATATAATAGAGGCAGCAGGTCATGTCTATCTGGTTGAAAAGTTTTACATACAGATTTATCCACATGAAACTGAACTGCATTTCCTTCTGTGGTTCAGAACACTTTGGTGCACACAGCTCCTGATTTGTATAAAGAAACCCAAGGGGAACATAAGCCAGCAAAGACCTAATTGCCATATGGTATTACCATCCTGGGTAAAATCCATGTTAGCATTTTATTTCAGCCAGAAGTAGATTAGGCAGATAAAATTTTCAAAATAAAACACAATCAGTTAATTAAAGTGAGGAAAGACTTTATTTGTTCTATGCTAGAATGGATTGAAGGCAGCTTATGAATGGCCTCATGCCAAAAGGAGTTATTTCCTAGGTGGGAGCTTTACAAACAGGGCTCCCAGGAAGGAAAGAGGGCAGTGCTGAACAGACAGGGGATTACAGTTGTCCCTTCAGCTTAGTCAGAGCAGTTCTGCTTTCTCCTGTCGTACAATGAACTTTTCTCTGGATCTTCCATGAAGAAAGAAGGCTCTGCAGCTAACATATCTGTAGCCCACCTAGCATCATACCCTTGTTCTTCCACCCAGCCACTCTCATCCTGGGCAAGATCCCGAACCGGTCTGGGCTTCAGTTTTGTTAACATTAAAATTTGGCAAGTATTAATTATTAACAATAATAGTCAACATGGGGTTGTTTGTGAGTCAATATTGTCAAGCACTTAACACATAAAATACATAATAAATGATTCGCACATGTTTGTCAAATAAATAAATAATATATGAGACCATTATCCATAATTAAGGCTGACAAGCAGACTGAGTGGTTTTTCTTCCCTGCAGGGAAGAAACCAGAAAGAACCAGGTAATATTTTAACTAGTCTGCAACCTGAGCTGGCCTAGAAAGGAAAAAGGTGCTTTGGGGGACTTTAAAACTAGCAAAACCATGGTTTTAACTCTTTATTACTAAACCATCAGTAATTTGTCAGCATTCCCATTAATGAAGCCAACATCTAATAAGTAGTTTACAAACTACAAAGCAACCCGCACATATTATTGGAGATTGTAAACTGTGTGATGCAGCGATACATCCCTGGATATCCAGAACGACGTAACTAAACCAACCACGCTGCTTAATGACATAAGAATGGTTGAAATATTACACAATGAACATGTTTTGGGCTTTGTTACAAGATCTGCTCCCCCTCCAACTTCATAGGTTGAAGTCCTAAGCTCTGACTCCTCAGAATGTGAACTCATTTGGAAGTAGGGGTGTTGTAGGTATAATTAGTAAGGAAAGATGAGTCATACAGTTGAATCGCTACTCCAGCATGGAGACAGAATGAAATCTCAGGGAGACTGCTATGTCAGATGGAAGGCGGAGTTCAAGGTGATGCTTCTCCAAGCCAAGGGACCTTAGCCATGGCCAGCAAACCATGAGAAGCCAGGGACAAGCATGGAACAGACTCGCCCTCAGATCTTTTGGAAGGAACTAGCCCTGTAGACTCCTTGATCTCAGACTTCCAGGCCCCAGCACTGTTAGGTGGTGATTTTCTATGTTGAAGAGTTAGCTTGAAGCACTTGCTTACAGCAGGCAATGTTCGTAGTATAGAAACTGTAACAAAGGCACTTCCTCTCTTTACTGGACCTTTGGCTCATCCTTCCCTACAGTAAATATTTACTAATTGCTGCTGTGTTAGGCACTGTGGCTACAGGAGTGAGCCAAAGCCCCTGCTTCCGTGGAACTTGCAGGTTGGAGGGGAAGGCTGATGTGAAAGAAACACACAGGACTGGGAGCAGAGCTGGTGACAGTGCCTTACGGGGCATAAAGGGAGCTGCTGTCTGGGGGGGGGCAGTGGTGAGGAAAGCCAACGTGAGTAGGAAAGAAGGGAGAGAAAGCAGGAGATAAAGCAGATGCAGGCCACAGGGCAATCAGGGTGGAGTACTGGGTGTCAGTGAGGAGGGAGGGCAGAGCAGAGTCTGGGATTCACTCATGTTAGTGCCCTAATAGCACCACAGTGCACAGCAACCCTGCTACTGTCTTCTTTCTTTCTTTCTTTCTTTCTTTCTTTCTTTCTTTCTTTCTTTCTTTCTTTCTTTCTTTCCTTCCTTCCTTCCTTCCTTCCTTCCTTCCTTCCTTCCTTCCTTCCTTCCTTCCCTTTCTTCCTTTCTTCCTTCTTCCTTTCTTCTAATGGTGCAGGACCCACTTTTTAAATTTTATTTAAAAGTTGACTGAAATGTGTTGAGACTTTCAATTTGCTTTTAGTTACACTAAAGCGGGTCTAGTCCTAGCTTGTGACCTTTAAGGGTTGAAGAACAGGCAGGGTTCACCAAAATCTGTGAAACTGTCAGATGCTACAGGGCCAGGCCAGACAAGCAGCCTCAGCTCCCTTCTGTGCTGGGAAGAGTACATGGGAGATGTGCAGCACATTTGATTACCTAGCCCTGGGTCTCTTTCTCAGATCCTGAATCACTGCCTGCATTATTCTTCCTGGAACGATTCCTCACACTCCTCACTGCTTGAAGCTGGAGCACGGATAGCTGTGACTCTAGACTAAGCCAGTTGAGCTGGCCCTGGAGACATGACCCTGGGGCTGCTCTTTTGCCTTGGTAAAGCCAGAGGCCCTGCAAACCCAGTAATCATTCAAAGAGTGAAAGGAGCCTGACAGAGTGATGCTTTGTGGCAGTGCCAGCAACACCAGTGGTGGTGTCCGGTGGGCAGTATCAGGAACAGAAAGATCTTGACCACTCTTCCTGAGGCCTGATCTCACTGAATTAGAACATCAAATACCCCTACTTCCCAATCTTAGTTTTACAACTTTCATATCAATGCTGGAATCCATTCCACATCTTTCTAGTAAATTCTTTGTCTGCCAAGTCATTCTTATTGTCCTAGCTTGCAACCAGGAACCCTAAATGATTTTAGCAGTTTCTTTGTGCTTCATCATTTATTCGGTAGACCTTATATGTCACAAACTGTAAATGTTACCTGTAACAGAAGTACCACCAGATAGAAAGGTTATAAGGCAGGAAAGCCAACATCGCCATGCCCTTGAAGACAAGAGCTGCATCCTGGTATTAAGCAGCACACCTGTTCTCTAGCTACACTGCACAGCACAGTGGGGGCAGCCAGTGACAGCTGGACAAACCTCAGGTGACTCTGCTGCTTACCTCAGACTGATGCACAGCACACAAAAACATCCATGTTAGCACTGAACCTGAGTTCTGTTTTCCATCAGTCATCTAAAATATCTTTAAATAGAATTAATTTTGTTCAGTTATATGCTACTCATTTGTATACACATATAAATTTATTTCATAGTCCTATAGAAAATTCTTAGATATGGAATGAAACATTTATTTTAGGGGGAATTGAAATGATGATACACATACAATGTACAAATACATATAAAGGATGTATTAGGAAAGAGTGGGTGGGAGGAATCAAAGTCAGTTGACTGCCCACAATATCCCAAGTAGGGTGTGTTACCAGTATTGATCCTCAAATATATCCCCTGAGAGGTCAGTATTTTATTCCAGTTTGACAGATGAGGAAGGCAATTCAGCAAAGTTAAGCAAAGACACCTAGTTAATAATGATTATAGGAACCCAAACCATGAATCTGCTGGCTCATTATAGTTTGCCACCTTGCCTCCTCCCACACTATAAATGGATTTCTAATCCTCACTTGATTCTTAAGTACAACAGTTTCCAAAGTAAGTCAC